ACCCTCTGTTTTACCAAGCATGATGTCCTTCTCTAGGGACTGGTCCCTCCTGTTAACGTGTGCAAAGTATGTGAGATGAAGTCTTGCCATCCTTACTTGTAAGGAGCATTCCAGCCGTACTTCTTCCAAGACTGATTTGTTTGTTCTTCTGGCAGTCCATGGCATTTTCAATATTCTTCGCTAACACCGTAATTCAAAGGCATCAGTTCTTCAGTCTTCCTTATTCAGTATCCAGCTTTCACATGCATATGAGGCAATTGAAAACACTGTGGCTGAGTCAGGCACACCTTAGTCCTTAAAGTGACATCTTTGCTTTTTAATACTTTAAAGAGGTCTTTTGCAGCAGATTTGCCCAATGCAATGCATAGTTTGCTTTCTTGACTGCTGATTCCATGGGCTTTGATTGTGGCTCCAAGGAAGATGAAATCCTTGACAACTTCAGCCTTTTCTCCGTTTATTATGATGTTGCATATTGATCCAGTTATGAGGATTTTTGTTAAGATGTAATCAATACTGAAGACTGTAGTCTTTGATCGTCATCAATAAGTGCTTCAAGTCCTCTTCACTTTCAGGAGGCAGGGTTATGTCATCTGTGTATCTCAGGTTGTTAATGAGTCTTCCTCCAATCTTGATGCCGCCGCCTTCATCATATAGTCCAGCTTCTCGGATTATTGCTCAGCATACAGATCGGATAAGTATGATGAAAGGATACAACCTGATGCACACCTTTCCTGATTTTAAACCATGCAACATAGCCTTGTTCTGTTTGAATGACTGCCTCTTGGTCTATGTACAGGTTCCTCATGAGCACCAATAAATGTTCTGGAATTCCCTTTCTTTGCAATGTTATCCATAATTTGTTATGATCCACACAGTCGAATGCCTTTGTATAGTCAATAAAACAAAGGTAAACATCTTTCTGGTATTCGCTGCTTTCAGCCAATATCCATTTGACAATTGAATTTCTGGCAGTTCCCTATTGATGTACTGTTGCAACTGCTTTTGAATGATTTTCAGCAAAATTTTATTTGTGTGTGGTATTAACCATATTGTTCAATAATTTCTGCATTCTATTGGATCACCTTTCTTTGGCTCTCTTCCAGTTGGTTGGCCAGGTAGTTATCTTCCAAATTTCTTGGCATCGATGAATGAGTGCTTCTAGTGCTGCATCCTTTTGTTGAAACATCTCACCTGGTATTCCATCAATTCCTGGAGCCTTGTTTTTTGCCAATTCCTTGGACTTCTTCCTTTAGTACCATTGGTTCTTGATCATATGCTACCTCCTGAAATGGCTGAATGTAAACCAATTCTTTTGGGTACAGTGACTCTGTATATTCCTTCCATGTTCTTTTGATGCTTCCTGCATTGTTTAATATTTTCCCTGTAGAATCCTTCGGTATTGCAACTTGAGACTTGAATTTTCTTTTCACCTCTTTCAATTTGAGAAATGCTGAGCATGTTCTTCCGTTTTGGTTTTCTATCTCTAGGTCTTTGCACATTTCATTGTAATACTTTGCCTTCTTGAGCCACCCTTTGAAATCTTCTATTCAGCTCTTTTACTTCACCATTTTTTCCTTTCACTTTAGTTATTCTATGTTGGAGAGCAAGTTTCAGAGCCTCTTCTGACATACATTTTGGTCTTTTCTTTCCTTCCTGTCTTTTTAATGACCTCTTGCTTTCTTCACGTGTGATGTCCTTAATGTCATTCCACAGCTCGTCTGGTCTTCAGTCATTAGTGTTCAGTGAGTTATATCTATTCTTGAGATGGTCTCTCGATTTAGGTGGGATATATTCAAGGTCGTATTTTGGCTCTTGTGGACTTGTTCTAATTTTCTTCAACTTCAGCTTGAACTTGCATATGAGAAATGGATGGTCTGTTCCATAGTCGGCCCCTCGCCTTGTTCTGACTGATGATTCTGAACTTTTCCATCATCTCTTTCCACAGATGTAGTCAGTTTGATTTCTGTGTATCCCATCTGGTGACGTCCATGTGTATAGTCACCGTTTATGGTGTTGGAAAAAGATATTTGCAATGAAGAAGTCGTTGGTCTTGCAAAATTCTATCATGCAATCTCCAGCGTTGTTTCTGTCACCAAGGCTGTATTTTCCAACTACTGTTCATTCTTCTTTGTTTCCAACTTTTGCATTCCAATCACCAGTAATTATCAATGCATCTTAATTGCATGTTTGAGCAATTTGAGACTGCAGAAGTTGGTAAAAATCTTCATTTTCTTCATCTTTGGCCTTAGTGGTTTGTGTGTAGATTTGAATAATAGTCATATTAACTGATCTTCCTTGTGGGTGTATGGATATTATTTTATCACTGACAGCGTTTTACTTCAGGGTAAATCTCGAAATGTTCTTTTTGATGATGAATGCAACGCTATTCCTCTTCAATTTGTCATTCCCGGCACATTATAGCATATGAGTGTCTGATTCAAAATGGCCAATACTAGTCCATTTCAGCTCACTGATGCCTAGGATATCGATGTTTATGTGTACCATTTTCATTTTTGATGATTTCCAATTTTCCTAAATTCATATTTTGTACATTTCACGTTCTGATTTTTAATGGATGTTTGCAGCTGTTTCTTATTTTGAGTCGTGCCGCATCAGCAAATGAAGGTCCCAAAAGCTTTACTCCATCAACGTTATTAAGGTCGGCTCTACTTTGAGGAGGTAGCTCTTCCCTAGTCGGGTTTGGAGGGAAGATAAAATAAGGATACATGTTATTTCTAATGGTAGCCAAGATAGATAGGGAAGGCCCAGAAGGTTTTAGTAGAACAGTGGTAACAAAGATATGGAGGAAGGGAAGGTCAGGAAGTGTTAAAGGAGTTGGTAGAGTCCAGTTTGACTATATCACTTGGTTTCTTGGAATAAGATAGGCAGGAGAAACTGAAGGGAGAAGCAAAAGAACTAACATTGATGAGAACCTGTTTTATCCCCTTCCCTCTACTGACTGCCACATCTTTCTCCTGGTTGATAGCAACAGCCTTCTAACTGGTCTCTGCCTCTGTGTTGTAGTTTGTCAGTCCCTTTTTCTGTACTTTCCTGTCTCAATTTCATAGCTTCGTTTTCTTTTTTTTTTTTACGAATTCTTTCCTCCTTTATGTTTTTGGATGATTTAAACATATTTATTCTAAAGTATTTTTCAGATTGCTTTATTATTTCTATTTCCCTGGGTGTGAATTCTCTAATTGTTGGATTGTTGTCTGTCTTTCACAATGGTGGGTTTTGTTTGCAAGTTCAGTTTGGCTGTATTAACAGCCCTGCATCCCCTCCGTCCCCCCTTACTTCTCCCTGCATGGTGATTTTGAAGTTGCCTCAATTTGGCCTTCTGCAGTCTTACTTTAAGGTTCAGAAATCTCATCCTGCAGGGAAATGACTATTCTAGTTCCTAAACTAGTTCTTGAACCAACAGATGTCTGCTTCATTCCTAAATATGTGCCTTTATTCCTGTCTCCTCTGCGGGCAAGCCTTGTAGTGCTGGCTGTAGTCTATGCCATTTTAGCCTCTGATCCTGGGCAGAGAAGGAGAGAGATATTGTCATGAAGTTTTCATGGCCCCTCTTTCACTATGGGAGTTGAATTTCTGGCTCCCACTGCTTTTTGCAAATGCCTACCTCTATAGTTGCTTCTCATGCCTATGGTTTTCTCCTTTGTTTCCGATTTTTGAATAATTTTATATTGATTTTTGAGTCCTGTATGTCATCAGGAAAGATCAGTCCCTAGAAAAGGACATCATGGTTGTCAGTGAAGATGAAGAACACTTTCAGTGGGGTGGATTGACACAATAGCCACAACAGTGAACTCAAACATGAAGATGGCACAGGACCAGGCAACGTTTTATTCTGTTACACACAAGGTTGCTATGAGTTGGAGCTGACGGCAACTAACAAGAACAACAAAGTGCACCTTAAAATATTTTTTTGCTATCATTACATGTGATTAGAGTAGAGTAGGAGGGGCTCTTATGTGTACTCACACTACCATTTTGACAGGAAATCTCTCCATTCATTCTTTACACAACAACCAGAATCATCTCTGTGGCGAGGCCACTCCATCACACAGAACCTTTAGGTAGCTCTTCTTTTCTTGGCATGGCTTGTAAGACTCTCTGTGAGTTACTCCTGGCTAACTTTTCCAGCCTCACCTTCTTATTCTTTACACCGTGTCTTTCCTCTGTTCATATTGTTTCCCATGCTTAGACTGTTCCATCCCACCTTCCCCTGCCAACTCCTCATTGTCTCTAGAAGCCCTTTTCTGCCATGGCAGCAACAAGATGCAGTGGGTGCTTGAGGTGCCTTCAGCTGCAGCTGAAATCAGAGGTGGGCCAAGGGCACGTGGTGAGGGGCTTGCAAAGCATCTGCTGTCCGTACACTATGTTGTTTAATCCTCACGGCTGAGCTGTGGAGGAAGACTTGTTATCTTCCTTTCATAGAATCACAGAGGTAGGATTTGAAGCCTCTTTGTCTGACTTCAAAGCCACTGCTCTTTCCTTCCTGTTAGGCCTGTTTACAAGCATCCCTTCGTTCAGCATCTATTTACTGGTACTGATTGTGCTCCACGATGGGCCAGAAGGTCACTGATGGACCAACCAGGTTGGCCATATTCATTTACAAGCCATACTTCCTTTCGGATGTAGGGAGGGACGAGGGAACCTTGCAATTGTCATGAACATCTTGTGACCTCCATATGCTCTACCTAGGCCCAGCCTGCATTCACATACCCACGGAGCCCACTCACCTGCTATGTACCTTGTTTCCAATTAGTTTTACTTGTCTTATCTTTGAAATAGACATAGTAGTACCTACCTTGTGTAGTTGTCTTGAGGTTACATGAGGAAAAACACTTGGCATGGGCACATGGCAGGAGCTCCCTCTGTTTAGTTGAGACAGAACCTGGAGACAGGTCGGTGGGGAAAACTTGAGGAGCTTGGCAGGGGATAAGTCTTTAAGAGAAAGCTTAGCTGTCCTACTCTTTTCTCCTTTGGAAAAACAGGCCAGACCTTCTCCAAACGTTACATGAACTACTTCTGGAACAAATATGCTTGACAAAGCAGGATGTTTCTGGAGAAGACCTTGATGGTAAAACCAAGAAGACACTTAAGCAAATGGCTATTCAGCTAAGAGGTGAACTCAGACGTTTCATCCAAGCCAACTCATTTTCCAAGCCACATGATGAACTGAAGTCGCCTTGGGGAGCCCAGCTAGTAAAGTTGGGTGAAGTGTCCAAGGTGGAGCTGAAAGACGCTTCAATGCAGACCGTGGTCATGGAGGGCAACACTCTCAGATTCAAACACGAAGGAATGAGAGAGGCTTGGGAAGAGAAACCAACAGATGCTGTATTCAGTGCTGAGCATCAGCCAGAGAACTTGCATAGGATGCCAGGGAGGCAGGGCACTCCCCTTTCTCTCCCGAGTGGGACTGACAAAGTAAGTTTCTCTCTTTTTCTCTCTCTCTTTACACACACACACTCACACTCTCTAACAAGCAAATAATTCTTATTTTTTTAAATTGTACTTTAGATGAAGGTTTACAGAGCAAACTAGTTTCTCATTAAACCATTAATACTCATTGTTTTGTGACATTGGTTGTCAACCCCACAACGTGTTAACACTCTCCCCTTCTCAACCTTGGGTTCCCCATTGACAGCTTTCCTGTCCCCTCCTGCCCTCTCATCTTTGCCGCTGGGCTGGTGTGCCCATTAAGTCTCGTTTTGTTTTATGGGCCTGTGTAATCTTTGGCTGAAGGGTGAAACTGAGGAGTGACTTCATTACCGAGCTAAAAGGGCATCCAGGGTCCATACTCTCTGGGTTTCTCCAGCATCTGTCAGACCTGTAAGCCTGGTCTTTTTTTTTTTTTTTTTTTTTTTTGCGAGTTAAAATTTTGTTCTACATTTTTCTGCAGCTGTGTCCAGGACCCTCTATTGGGGTTGTGCTGAACTTATTCCGGTGGAGACTGTGGTCCTTGTGGTCCGTTCGTGCTTTGGACTGATCTTTCCCTTGTGTCTTTGGTTTTCTTCATTCTCCCTTGCTCCAGATGGGGTGAGACTAGTGGAGTATCTTAGATGGCTGCTCACAAGCATTTAAGACCCCAGACGCTACTCAACAAAGTAGAATGTAGAACATTTTGTTTATAAACTATGTTATGCCAGTTGAGCTAGATGTTCCCCATATAGTCCCCATAGCCCTTAGCCCTATAATTCGGTCCCTCAGGGAGTTTGGATAGATCTGTGGAGCTTCCATGACCTTGCCTTGGACAAGTTGTGCTGGCTTCCCCAGTACTGTGTACTTGCTTTCTCTTCACCAAAGTTACCACTTACCTATTGTCTATTTAGTTTCTTTCCATCCTCACCCCTCCCCTCCCTTGTAACCATCAAAGATTGTTTCTTTTTGTGTGTAAACCTTTTCATGAGTTTTTATAGTAGTGGTCTCATACAACAATATTTGTCTTTTTGTGATTGACTTATTTCACTCAACATAATACCCTCCAGATTCATCCATGTTGTGAGATGCTTCTCAGATTCATCGTTGTTCTTTATCGTATCATAGTATTCCATTGTGTGTATGTACCATAGTTTGTTTATCCATTCATCTGTTGATGGGCACCTAGGTTGTTTCCATGTTTAAAAAATCACTTCTAATCTGACCATGGTTTTTGATTGATGTAATAGGAAAGTCTGGAGTTTCTCTCCGCCTGCACTGATCCATGCCCTCCACCTAGAGCGTATATCCTTCCTAACTTCCCTGAAGTGTTACCTTGCCTTCTTCCTCCCCCATCCCCCTGACTGTTGTCCTCCACCCCATCTCTATCTCCTTTATCTACTGACAGTCCCCGGGTTATGAGCGGCCAACTTTTGGACAACTTGTACTTAAGAATGGACTGCCATAAAGTCTATATTAAAAATTTGTGTTATTACAATGGTTTGTAATAACAAATGCACACACTACTTTGTGATGCTCATGAAAACATTGTGTGGTTTGGAAGTCTTATGTGTTTTTTGTGCATAGAAAAGTAACGTATATACTATATACTAAGACGTTTGACTAACCGATGCTAAATAAGAACCACATGTACCTGTTCCAACTTACCTACAAATTCGACTTAAAGACAGACTTAGATCTCATTCGTAACTTGGGAACTGCCTGTATGTATTACTACACATAGGTGTTTTCCTTATAAAAATGGAATCGTTTATCCCTGTGTTTTCAGCTTTTTCTTTCACGTTATGTATTTGTAATGGCTGCATAAGATTGTATGGTGGGGATGTGCCCATATTTATATAATTCTTTACCTATTGATAGACATTTACTTTTGCAGGTTGCAATAAAATAATAATAACCTGATTTCAGGGTTGGAGATGAGACCCTAGGTTTTATTTTGTTCAGACTTTGTATCTGAGAGGTACTGCTCTGAGGGCTTTGTCTACATTTTGATATCTCCTTAAAATGCCCATTAGAGATGAGAAAACCAGAGCTCGAGTGACATAGCTATGGTTATCCAGTGGTTAAGAGGCCGGGCTAGGACTCTCAGTGTGCCAGACTTCATAGTCACACCCTTTCCCTGCATCAAACTGCCTTCCAACCCATGGTGGCCCAAACTGGTAGGGTGTGGTTTTGTTGTGTGAATATCCGTATGTTGCTTTTGCATCAGTTGAGATGCTGTATCTCCTCTTAAATGTCTCCTCAGATGCCATCAAATATACCAGATAGTTAAGAACCAAACTCTCTTGGCAGTGTTTGATAGTATCTCTTACTAAAATCTTCTTGGGAAGAGGGGTTGGGATTGAGAATCCCCAAAGCAGAGAGGAAGGAAATAGGTCATGTTTCTAATAGAGCTCCAGTGATGGCTGTTGATACTCTTGTTTCTGATGGGTGTTTTGTATCTGAGAAATCAACTGTACACATTGTTTCATAGCATCAGAATGGAGAATTAAGTTTATTTTCTGACCACTAAATTACTGCTTTTGTGCATACCAAAGAGAGTTAGATATATCATTAGCAAAATTGCTTTTGATTGTTTTAAATTATGCACCAAAACTGTAATTTCTAGAAAAGGATTTTCTAAAGATATCAGTAGAGAAAGAGAGAGAAAAAAAAAAGACACTGCCATTATATTAATGGTATTAGAGATGCAAATTTGTGCAATTTGTCTAGAATAGGAATGCTCTCATTTGCCCCAGCCCTTTCAGATTGTACCTGTTTGTTAGGAAAACTAGGAGGTTTTTTTCCCCTTTATATGTGGGAAATGTCATACTTCATTCAGGAAAATTGGATAATTGAACAAACTTAATTTTCCCAAATACATTGAAAATTTTTTCCTTTTTAGTTTGGAGTCATCCTTCTTGCCTATGCCTTCAAAAGGAAGGAAACTGATTTTTTCCCCCCATTTGCTGTATATGCCAGGCATTGTGCTAGATGTTCTGTACATACATCATCTAATTTAGTTTTCTCAACACGGTATGAGTCAGGTGGATATTACTGCATCTTGCACATGAGGAAATGGAGGCTCTGTAAGGCTCAGAAAATTGTCTAGGGTGACTCAGTTGATAATTGGAGCAGTTGGGATATAACTTAGTTCTGGTTTTAGAGGCACACAGAGATTTACAAACCTACCATTCTCAGAGAGTGAGGAGTTCTCAACACCACCAGCATGGCCTCCAGTCTCTGTAAAGTAGAAAAAAATGATTTTCTTTGTAGTCTTTGGTCAGTGAAGGAATCGATAGTCCTAGGGCCCAATCCAGAACTCTGGTATCCTGCTAAAAGGAACATCATTGAAGCCCAAAGGTGTGACAAAGAGACCAGCTACACTTCTGGTTGTTTAGTTATAGAGGATAGATACACTGTGTTTGCATCCAAGTCTGGCCACTTATCTACTGTGAGTCCTTGTGTAAGTCACCTGACCAGTATGACCTAGACGCTGAGGTTGGCATGATGACTAAATGAGGTAATGTGTGACAAGTGCCAAATGAAGTATCTTGTAGATGGTAGGTGCTTGGTGTATTTGAGTTCTGTCCTCCTTCCCCTCCCAAGTCAGAAGTTTTATTTGACATCTTTAATAAGGTGGTAGGTGGAGACTCTGTTCAGTGCCCATAAGGCAGCATTTTGTGGGGTGTTATTTTAGAACCGGCATTAGGTTGACTGACGGCAGTCTTCCAGCCTGAAATTGGCTTTGGCATTTGTGCACTTGCAGATATCTTTTCTGCTGCCATATGACACACAGATTTGGATCCAAGAATAAAGATTGGTGGAGACTGAGGACCAAGCAAATGGCTGTTATTTTCCAGCTCTTTTTGAGAGGGCATCTAGCTCCTCCCAGTGGTCTCCCTCACCATCTCAAACTGCTCTATCCTTGGACCTGTTTTGCCTTCTTCCAACCTGGAATTTCAGGACAGAAAGTATCTCAGCTTTTCTCAACTGAGCCCTGAGTCCTGGAGTCTGAAGAGCTAGTTTAAGATCTGACTTTGTAACATTACTGTATAATGTTGAACTAGTTATCTGACACCTCATTTTCTTCATCTGGAAAATAGGGATATCAACGTCTGTTATTCTGTGACCTCTGGGAATGCAGAGTTTACCTGAGGATTATGTGAGAATGTGCATTTTACATCCTACCATGTGTGAGGGGTACTTACTCTTTTTGAGAACTTTAATGATTTTCTCATTCCCTGAGTCCCAGATATTTCCTGTTTTCTTCTCAGGTTCCTCCTCTGCTTTTTTGGTGTGTAAATAATAGCTTTATTGAGATATATTTCATATAATACAATTCACCCATTTAAACTGTTCAAGTCAGTTGTTTTTAGTATATTCTTAAGAATGTGCAACCATTATCACAATTAATTTTAGAACATTTTCATCACCCCAAAAAGAAACCCTGTACCCATTAGCAGTCACTCTCCATTTCCCTCCACCTCTCCGCTTCACCCAGTCTAAGCGACCAATAATCTACTTTCTGTCTCTATAGAGATGCCATTTCTGGACATTTCATATACATAGACTCATACAGTGTGTGGTCCTTTGTGACTAGCTTCTTTTACTTAGCATAATATTTCCAAGGTTCATTCATGTCATAGCATATATTAGTACCTCATTTCTTTTTATTGCCAAATAATATTCCATTGTATGGATATACCACATTTTATTTATCAAGTCATCATTTGAACATTTGGGTTGTTTCTGCTTTTTGGCTATTATGAATAATGTTGCTATGAACATTCATGTACAAGTTTTTTATGGACATGTTTTCATTTCTCTTGTGTATGTACCTAGGAATTGCTGGGTTATGTGATAACTTTATGTTTAATTGTTTGAGGAACTGACAGACTGTTTTCCAAAGCAGCTGCACTACTTACAATCCTACCAGCAGTGTATGAAGGTTCCAGTTGCTCCCCATCCTTGTCAGCACTTGTTATTACCTTTTTAATCATACCCATCAGGGGGTAAGGAGCCCTGGTCGCCAAGTGGTTAAGAGCTCAGGCTGCTAACCAAAAGGTCAGCAGTTCGAATACACCAGCCACTCCTTGGAAACTATGGGGCAGTTCTACTCTGTCCTGCAGGGTCACTATGAGTTGGAATCGACTCAATGTCACACAACAACAACAAAATGAGTGTGAAGAGGTATCTCACTGTGGTTTTGATTTATATTTCCTGGCAGCTAATGATGTTGAGCATCTTTTCAAGTGCTTACTGGGCATTTATATATCTTCTTTGGAGAACTGTCAGTTCAGATCTTTGCCCATTTTTCAGTTGGCTATTTGTAGTTTGATTATTGAGTTGAAAATTTTCCTTACATGTTCTAAATTCAAGTCCCTCTTCTTAGCTTTTGAATATATTTAAATTTTCCCACTTATAAGACACCCTCATTTATCCTCTTATTGTTTGTATGTTCATTCCACAAAGAGTAGTTGAGCACCTGCTATGCACTAGTCCTTGTGCTGGAAGCTGTGGATATAGAATGACTAAGATACGTAGAGTTCCTCAACCCTGGACCTTACAGGCTGGTACAGAAAATAGACAATGAACAAGTAATTACACAGGCATTTAATTATAATGGTACTAACATCCTTTGAGGAGAATTTTAGGGAACAGTGAGTATATATAACAGGGAGACCTGAGGTTTGAAAATCAAGGGCCATTCTCCTGAGGGAAGGCATGTTTGAGCTGAGTCCTAATAAATGATTTGGAGTTAGTAGGGGAAGTGAGGGTGGGCAAGAAAGAGTGTTCTGGGTAGAGAAGATAGTCTTATGTGAATGCTCTCAGGTGGAAAGAACATGGCATTTGAGGAACTGATAGAAGGTCATGGTGGCTGGAGGTTAGGTGAAGTCGGAGGGGCAGCTCAGGCTGCAAGTCATGTAGGGCTTTGTAGCTGTGTTAAGGACTTTGGCCTTTGTTATAAGGGAGCTAGGAAGCAATTAAAATGGTTTTAAGTAGAAGAGAGAAATGGTAGATTTGCCTTTTTTGCTGCAGTATGGAGAGTGAATTAGGGCAAGAATGAATATGGGGAGATCACGCAAGAGGCTGTTGCAGTGGCTGAGGTGAGAGTTACTAGTGGCTTGGGGTTGGGTGGTGGAAATAAGAGTGGAAAGGATTGAGAGACAGTTTGGGAAGCAGAATTAACAGAACCTGGTGAATGATGAAAATGGATGGTGAGAATAAAGGGATGTTTCAAAGATGACTTCCAGATTTCTAGATTGTGCAATAATGGAGTGATTCACCAAGAATGGGGAGTGTTGAAGTGGCATAGCTTTGGGGCAGGAATGTGGAGGCAGTGGAGTTGAAGAATTGAGTTTTCTGTTGACTTTGAAGTGCCTGTGAGCCGTCACAAATGAAGCTGTCTAGGATAGGCAGGTTGAGTGCTCTGAGCCTAGGAAATATCCACTGACTTTAGTGCCCCAGCAGCCACTGAAGACTTTAGTAAGGGGTGGTTCTTGTTGACTAGCAGGGGTGGCAGGCAGATTGGCTTAGATTGAGGAATGTGTGGGAAGTGAGGAAAAGTAAGATAAGGAACAAGAAAATGTTTCCCAGAAGATTGTGTTGGAAAAAGGATTGCCATGTATTGAGTGGGAGTCTCTGGGTGGTGTAAACAGTTAATGTGCTTGGCTCTTAACTGAAAGGTTGGAGGTTTGAGTCCACCCAGAAGGGCCTCTGAGGAAAGGACTGGCAAACTACTTCCAAAAAATCAGCCATTGAAAACCCTATGGAGCACAGTTGTATTCTGACACACATGGGTCACCATGAGTTAGAGTTGACTTGATGGCATATATTGAGCACCTGGAATGTCCAGAGAAACAGTTGACCAAGGCCAGGAGAATACCAAGGAGGAGAATCTTGGTAGTTGTCAATCAGAGGAGGAACCTGCCAAGATAGAAACTCTCTGGGCTGGTGGATAAACATAGATGCCATTATAGGAACCAGTAGTCTGGGCAGCTAGTTTGAATCCTGCTTTATGTGGTTGGCATCAGTGTTGACTGTCCAACCAAAAGAAGTGTATTCATTGTTGTATATGTGTATATTTTCAGGATGCTAAGAAATCCCGCTTGCCGATCCTGATAAAACCATCCCGGTCATTAGAAAATGTGTATCGGCTCTCTGCTACCCAGGAGGTGGTGGCCCAGCTGCAAGGCCAGATCATGGAGCTGCAGGGGGAATTGAAGGAGTTTAAAACTCACAACAAACAGCTTCACCAAAAATTAATTCTGGCTGAAGCAATGATGGAGGGCAAGCCAATGGCAGACAAAATGCTACTGAATGGTAAGCACAAAGAAAAATGTATTTTCCATGAGCTAGATGAATGACCTGATAGAAATGCTTGAAATGTCAACCTTCTTGTTTAGAATTGCAATAAGTTTGAGTATAAATTCCATGAATTGCAGTGGTTAATCTTGACTCTTGACAAATGCACAACAGAGTAAGGAAACACAGTAAGGAAAACAAATCTGTTGTTTCCATTTTATTCTGGAGTCTGGATAAAGGGGACTTGTAGTGCTCCTAGGTCTTGAGGGGGCTCATTGCTCCCTTGACTTGGGATTGTTTGCAGGTGCCCCGGTTGTGGGATGACTTGAATCTGGGCTTTTACTTTGGCTGAGTCTGTGGAAGCCTCAGTCTGTGGCACCACGGGTATGTAAGTGAGAGTCCTTTTTGCAGTTCTCTGGAATGTCCCGGCAATACTTGTCTGGGTTCCTCCAGACTAATTATAAACCCTACTGATCTTTTGTCATCTTCTAGAAGTGACCTGTCTCCCTACCCACTTTCGGTCTGCTGCCTCTACTCTCCTGGGGCCAAGGAAATAGAGAGCCTCTGGATTAAATTGTATCTAGTCAGAATAAACAGACTTGGAGGGAGAGCCTCAGGTGGTGTTCTCTAGTCTAGGACAGTGGTGCTTAGAGATTTTTGGACCACTGGTCCTTTGAGAATCTGAGGGCCCTCTCACAAAATAATGCAAGTATCTAGCATTTTGCATCATTTTCAGAGGGTTCATGAATCCACAGAAGTGTATATATTGACTCTAGATTTTGAACTCCTGATGTAAGCAAATGACACCAACACACAAAAGCAAAACAACAATAGTAATATCTTATCTATACATCCAAATATATTTATTAGATGTCTACTGCGTGCCAAACAGTGTTCTAGGCATTGGTGAGATAGTGAACAACACAAAGTCTGTGTCTAGTTTGCATTCTTGTGGGGGGAGAAAGAATAAGCTGATAAGTAAATATATAATATGTGAGGTGATGGTAAGTGCTATGGAGAAAAATAAGGCAGGGTTAAGGGCATACGTAACGTGGAATGGGAGCAGGATTTGCTAATGCATACGGAGTGTCGGAGAGCCTCCTGAGGAGGTGACATTTGAATGGAGACCGGGGGGTTAGGGGAACGTGAACAAACTAGTTATCTTGGGAAGTTCCTGGCAGAGGGAACAACAGGGGCAGAGGCTCTAATGCTGCTTTGAATTTGGGAAGTTAGATGAATAGTAAGGAGGCCAGTTATGCGGTTGGAGTGGAATGAGAAATAGGTGAGGTCAGGGAGGTAGCAGATTATGTAGGGCTTCACAGGATGTTCTAGGGCTTTGTCTCTTACTCTAGGTAAGATTGGGAACTGTTGGATGGTCTTGAGCAGAGGAGTTACATGATCCAACTTACGCTTTAAAGCAGGAATTGACAAATTATGGCCTGTAGATCAAATCCAGCTTGTGGCCTCTTTTTATAAATAAAGTTTTATGGGAACATAACCAGGCCTATTCATTTACATGTGGTCTATAACCACTTTTGTGCTGTGATGGCAGAGTTGAGTGATTGTGATAAACACCTTCTGGTCTGCAAAACCTAAAATATTTATTATCTGACCCTTCAAGAAAAAGTGTGCTGGTCCCTCTTGAAAGGAACACCTTTAATGTGAACAGTTGGAAGGGTGGAGTTGTCATACGCTGAGATGGGAAAGACTACAGGAGAGGCAGGCTTGGGTGACATTAGGTGTCTTTTTTTGGACTTATTTGAGATGCCTGTTGACCTTCCCAGTAGCGATGTTAAGTAGTCAGTTGGGAATAGAGGAGTCTGGAGTGGAGGGGAGCAGTCTGGGCTGGAGATATAAACTTAGGAAGTATTAACATATAGCTGGTATTTAAAGATATAAGACTTGGAGACAGGTAGTGGGTACAGATAGAGAAGAGAAGGTTGGACTGACAAGGAGCAGCTGTGAGGTAGGAAGGGAACAAAGGGAGAATGACGCTGCATTAGCTGAGTAAAGTAAGTGATCGGGGCCGATCAGTTGTGTAAAATATTGCTCATTGGACAAGTAATACAAGGACTTAGGCTCGACCATTGGATTTATCAGTGTGGAATTCATTGGTGACCTTGAAATGAGTTGCTTCAGTGGCATGAACAGGGCCTGACTGGCATGGGTTTGAGAGAGAATGGAGGAGACGGTTTGGAGATAGCAAGAATAGATGACTCTGAGGAAGTGTTACCATAAAGAAAAGTCAGGCCATTAGGAGCTAAATCGTCAGTGAATCTGAAGGGCTTCAGTGAATCCAAGGACTGTAGATGACCGCAGTGAGGGGGTAGTCAGTGGTATAACCTGAAGGCGTCAAAGCTGGAGTTTTCAGGGAAAAGAGAGAATGATCTGACAGAGAGGAGCAAGGAACTTACACACTTTCCAGGCCCATGCCATGAGGGATGCAGGAAAGAAACAGGCTACAGGAGAAGCAGTGTCCTCGGGGGACAGGCCAGTTCACTTAGAACGAGAGATGGGACAAATGTTCAGAGAGGAGCTTGAGGTTATTTGGAATTTTGTCAGTGATGGGTATGAGTACCAGCATAGCAGATTGCCTTAGACTGGAGGATTTCCAGAGTGGTTCAGGGATGGGAGATGACTTAGGAGCCTTGGGCTTCCTGTGGTAATAATAAAATGAACAACTATTATTTACTAAACCCTAATATATTCAAAATATTTTAGATACACGTTCTAATTGGATCCTCTCAGCATTCCTTTGAGGCAGGTACAATAATTATGCCCATTTTATAGTTGAGATGAAGTACTTCGCTATGGTCACACTGTTACTAACAGGCTAGATTGAATCAGTTAGGAGCTAAATCATCAATGAATCCGAAGGGCTTCAATGAATCCGAAGGGCTTCAATGAATCCGAAGGGCTTCAATGAATCCGAAGGGCTTCAATGAATCCAGGGACTATAGATGATGGCAGTGAGGGGGTAGTTGGTGGTATAATCTGATTTCAAAGCTTGCGCTCTTTAGTGTTTCATAAAGTCTAGTCATGATACTTTGTGTGTGGATTTTATAATGATCTGTAGCCAGTGGTATTTTCCATTTAATTTTACGTTCTCTCTTGCATTTACCATAATTCAGGTTCAGGATAAGTTGGCCTTTGGCAGCATTACTCTTCCCTCCTTTCTTCATTTCCCACCTTCCATTCATCCATCCATCTAGGCGTCTATTCATGCAGTCAGTGAACATTTCCCGGGCACTGGCTGTGTCCCCAGCCTCCTGCGCTGGGTGTAGGAGACAAGGAGATGAATCAGACACAGTCTGCCTTCTGAGAGCTCCTTGTCTGCCTGGGGTTGGTGGGGGGTGGGGGGTGGGAGGGCATGAGAGAGCAAGTAATTTAAAGGAAACAGTGCTGGGGGCTTCAGAGAAGAAAGGTTTTATGGCAAAAGTGACTCGGCCCAACAGAGGCCCTGGCACTTTGCCAGGGTCTTGCCATTTGTGCTGAATACTGTTGCTATTTCTTGCTGAGACACCAGGGTGCCTCAGCCAGGTGCTAGTTCCGCAGTTGCCCAATCCAGAAGACCCTGGGGCCTCTCTCCTTGGGAAAAGCGGGCACGAGTCCATAGAACTCATTCTCAGTCACAGTTTTTTGAGAGCTTGGGGACTTAAACCATCTCAGACAAGCCGCAGTATATTTATGCTTTTTATGTCCTGTTACGGCAGCTCGATAGATTAATTTTATCTTATAAATTGCATTTTGCCTCCCCAGTGTTTTTATTTTTCCTGTTGTATCTTTGTGTTCTTCTCAGTTGCTTGGCTAAGTTTCAACTTTATGGTTTTATTTATTTTTCTTTCTCTTTCCGAATGCGTGTAGCCCAGCCCCTTGTGGGAACAGCCTACCAGGGCAGCCCAGGAGAGCAAAAAGGAATTAAAACCACACCCTGTGTTTGGAGAGACAAGGAAATGGACAATGATCAGCAAACAAGCTACGAGACTGGTCAGAATTCAACCCCAACGTTTACTAAAAGTTACTGTGTGCCAGGCACCATCTGGAATGCTTTATGTAAAAATTGTTACTAAACCTCACAACAAACCACTCAGGTCTTCATCATTTTCCCCATTTAACACAGGAGGAGGCTGAGGTTTGTTAAAATAATTGGCCCAGGGCCACCCACCTGGTAGGTAGGTGGAAGAGTCAAGGCACAGTAGGAGGTCTGTTGAGCTCACCAATCCATTTGTCAAACACTGTTCTGCCAGGCAATGGGCTAGGTTCTGGTGGTTCAGCCTGAAAAGACACAGTCCTTGCTCTCAGAGGATCTCACAGACGGTGAAGACAGTCATCCCAACAGTCGGTTCACATTCAGCATGGTGCTGGCTATCGTTGAGGTGTGCATGAAGTCTGCCTCCGTCTGCCGGGGAGGAGTGGGTCAGAGGAGAGCTTGAGCTGAGACTGGTTTGTGGGAGTTGCCAGGTAGGTCAGTGGAAAGGTTTAGAGATGTGAGCAGGGCCACAGGCAAGTAGTATTCCTTTCTTTTTTAAATCATGAGGCATTATATGCATACAAATAAACACAAAGGATAATTAATGTAACACAAACCCATGTTCCCATTCAACCAGAATGAACATATGCTTAGATTTTTTCTTTTAACCTTAGATCTTTTTTTCCTTCATTTAAAAAATAAAAAAATCATCATTAACTTGGACCTAATTTACTCTGTAAGAAATAATTGTTCTCAAGAATCCTAAATTTGTCACAGGATGGCCATGAGGATGCCAAGTCTCTGAGGGAAGTACTGAGTTGTGGTTCCTGCTACCCATGGTCTGTACTCTGCCAAGACCTCCAGTCAGTGCAGTGAACACATGGTCACATGCTTGTGGAGTGTTCTGGGGTTTGGTGGAGTCACTGGGTAATAACATATCCTTTAGCTGAATTGTGGAAAGTTCCAGAACTGCAATATTTTTTATAATGTAAATGGTCCTGGGGATATCTTTTGGTTTCTTCTACTGAGTTAATGATTAATAAAGGCTTCTTGACTGATTGACAGTTTCCCATTCCCTCTCAATTCACCATCATTACTGAACTTCTTTCATTTCTCTGAATGTGCTTCTAGAACTTTGTACATGCTGTTGCCTCTGCCTGACCCCCCCGCCACCGCCACAGCCCCAGATTGTTGCCTAGCTGATGTCTCATCCTTTAGATCTCTGCTTAAATGTCACTTTGCAAGGGAAGTCTCCCCCAGTTATTTCAGCACTCCCATTAGCCCCCCGTGCTTTCCCTCTCCAACACTGATTGATCTTAAATTGACTTGCTCAGTGACTGCCCTCTGCAGGGCTGGGTACTATGTGTGACACCTTCACTACCGTTTCTTCAGTAGCCCCTTTGTAGATACTTGGCAAATGAAGGGGATTCCATACATGTTACTGGCCTTCACATTGAGGGTTAAGGATTTTCTCTCCTAGCTCTTGGCCCCTGACACCAGGAGATCCCCAGGTGTAGGAAGGATACATCAGGGGGCCACATTCAGAGTGTTAGAGGCAGGCTGTCAGGCTTTGACCAGGGCTGTGCTGTTACTCACTCTGAACCTTGGGCAAGTTCTTAGCTTCACTAAGCCTTGATTTCCTCTTCTGGAAAATGAGGACAGTAGTTGTGCTTCACAGGTTGTTGTGAGGATTAAATGGGTAACGTAAGTGAGGTGGTTATTGCCTAGGCCAGGTCCTGGCACATAGGTATACACCCTGAGGCCTTGATAAATCTCCAGCTTCACGCGTACAGCCCCCTCCTCAAACCCTTTATGCAGTGATACTTACATGAAAAGTGTAAGTAGCTCCTTTGGGCCTTTATTGTGTTTATTGAGGGCTACTGAGCAGAGAATAGCAAAGCCATGTGGACAGCTGATGATGCTGGGCTATCAGACTTGCTGTAAACTGACATTGGAGCCTAGAAATAAAATCCTTACCTCTACCAAGTCACAACTGGCTGTAGATTGTGGACTTCTGAGGGGCATTTCTGAAGTCACAATCATGAGTGTCAAGTGTCTGAATTTTGTGTTTGTTGCATTTGCAAGGAGTAAAGTTTAAAGTGGAGGTGTATACGTGTCTGTATGACAGTGCACACCCCCAAACATTCCATCAAGGGTGTGTGCATGTGTGTGGCTAACTGTGAGAGCTGGCCACAGTCTGTATCAGAAAGGGTTATTTGTAGCAGCTGTTTCTAAAACAAAAAGGTTCATGGTATGTACATTGTGAGCAAAGAGACAGGGTGGGCCTAACGTCACAAGGAGAAGGTTGCAGAACCAGAAATTGGGACATACAGTCTTCTAATACAGGATTTTTCTGTGATTTCCTTTCTGAGAGATCTCTTAGGTCATCTAGTCCAAGCCACATCGTTGCCTTTGCAGCATTTCCCCAGGTCCACAGCCCTCTTGTGCACACCTCCAGTGACAGGCATCCCCCTCTTCTTTGAGCAGTTGTAGGAAAGCAAAGCATGTTAATATTAGTTGGGCTTCTTCACTACTATATGCTAGACACTGTGTTGCCTTGTTGAAGATATTATGCTGTTTAATCCTAAAAACAAAACAAAATAAACACAAAACCCTTCACAGTGAATGATGTTCACTCCATTTTACAGATGAAGCTGCTGAGACTCAGAGAGGTTAAGTAATCTGCCTAAGGTCATGCAGCTAGTAAGTGCAGAGCCAGAGTTTGAAACCAGGTCTTTTGGATTTCAAAGATGGATTTTTTTCTGCTACATTCTACTGCCTCTTAAGTATTTAACCGCTCCTTACATTGAGCTGAAGGAGCCCTGGTGGTGCAGTGGTTAAAGCAATTGACAGGTTGACGATTTGAAAACACCAGCAGCTCCTCAGGAGAAAGATGTGGCAGTCTGCTTCTGTAATAATCTTGGAAACCCCACAGGGTCAACATGAGTTGGAATGGACTTGATGGCCGGGGGGTTTTTTTGGTTGCATTGAGCTGAGCTTTCTCCATGGGCGGCAGGTGGTGTGGTGTAGTGGTTAAGGACAGACGCTCTGGAGTCAGGCCTGAGCTTGAAGCCTCACAGCAACTGTATTAGGCATCTTTCCTCATTTTACATACAGGGGAAACTGAGGCTCTGAGCTAGTAAGTTACTTGCCTGAGGCAGTAATTGACAAAGCCGGGTGTGATTCCATTTCTCTTTGGCTTCAAAGCTATGTATTTTTTTTCTGCTATACCGTGTTCCTGTCAAACAAGAGTGGCCGTGCCTCTGAAGATTTAAGCTAGCTCTGAGGAAATATTTCCCTGCATGGCTGAGTTAGTGAAACGTTTTATGAAAACGGACATCATGGTGTCCTGTGGAAACTGATAGACATGGAAATGAGGAGACTCTCACTTGTCATGGATGTTTAGCATTACTGCTCTGTAAGGTTACTTTACTCAGTCCCTCAGTATTTATCAGACTTTCCTTGACCTCTGATCTGGCCTACGTACTGTACTAGCACTGAGAATGTGGAGATGAAAGGGCAAGTCCCTCCTGTGAAGGAACGTGCAGTCCAGTCAGGCAGAGAGGCATCCAAATGACTGATAGTTATGTAAATAAATAAATAAGCCAATTGTAATTGCTATGTCAGCACCCAAGACATAGTATGTTTGTTGCAGGTAATAGGTGTAAGGTGCTATGGAAGCACAGAGGGGAGTGACCGTTTTGCATAGTATGGAGATGGTCTGGCAGAGGAAAAAAAATTGGATCTGGGTGTTGGAGGACCAGTAGTAGTTCCTCAAGTAAAGAAGAGGGCTGAGGGTATTCCAGGCAGAGGGAACAGCACATGCAAAAGCATAGAGGCATGAAATAGCATGGTATATGCAGAAGATTAATTAATTTAGTGGAGACTCTCCACAGGTGGTACCAGATGTTCCTGGAAAGGTTTCGTGGAGCTAGATCATGGAGGGTTTCAGGTACTGTGATAGGGAGTTTAGATTTGATCCTCAAGATAGGGAGTGATTGACAAGTTTCAGATGGGAGAGTAAATGGTTAAGTCCACTTTTTAGAACAGTTACTCTGAGGAAGAGGATGGATTGAGGGGTAAGGGGAAAGACTGGAGGCAGGGAGACTGGTTAGAAGGCTGCTGCCGTGGTCCCCGCTTGGCTGTGAGGAAGGCGAGAGGGGGTGGATTTCTGCACAGGAGGTACTGACATAAGTGTATTTGATTTTCAGACTCTGAAATTTACCAGCCTGATGACCTTGCCATCTTGCCAACATGCAAAGAAAGTCCTTCCGAAGATTTTCAGGGCACAACTTCAGTAGCTACTTATGTGAGTTCTAAGAGTCAGCTTTCTGTTAAAGTGAACATGATTGAGACTGATCAGTCTGAGAACATCGATGCCTCAAATGGTACAGAATACTTAAAACAGAAAATCCGTGACTTAGAAACTGAGCTCAAGGGCTACCAAAGTTTCATATTTCAGCTTCAATCAGGGAAACACTCCCAGTGCAGTGAGGCCATTATCACCGTTTTGTGTGGGACAGAAGGGGCCCAGGAAGGCTTGAACAAGCCCAAGGGTGGTACTGACGATGAAGAAATGACCTTCTCAAGTTTGCACCAAGTACGTTATGTGAAACACATGAAAATCCTCCATCCCATGGCCCCAGAGACGACTGATGGCGGGATGCTGGAGAGCCTCAAACAGCAGCTGGTGGAACAGGAATATGAGCTGCAGAAAGAGCAGAATTTGAACATGGAACTGTTCAGTGAAATCCATAATCTGCAGAATAAGTTCCGAGACCTCTCACCCTCAAGGTACACTCCACCTCTGCCTTCTCCCGCTATTTAAGCCTGCAGTTCCCCTCAGCTACCACTAGGCAAGAGTCCATGCTCGAAAAGGGAATGCTGCTCTGTGATGGTGGTGGGTGCGTGCAGGGGAAGGCTTGATGGTGGGATTAAGGCAGCCAGGCCCTGCAGAGAGGTGCAGTGTCAGGCCACAAAGAACAGTGCCTGTGCACATGAGCATCAAATGCTAGTCTTGTGCCCTATGAAATTGGCAGAGCAGATTTTGCCCTTTTGAGGTTGGGGACTCAGGGTAAAGGTTTTATAGTCACTTGGTGAGTTATAGTTACTTGCTGAAGTGCAGTGTTTACTCCTAGACTCCGTTACTGGTTTTTGCTGTGCTGTGAAACTGAAGCCGATGTGTCCTAGGCAGAGTGGGGAGAAATATAAATATTTTCCGTATCTTTACCCTGTAAGGTCATCTTAGAGAAATAAGCCTGTGTTGAAAGAGAAGAATTCTTAGGTCATGAAGATATGTTTTATGGGCACAGATATATACAGTTTTGCTCTATGAGATAGGGCAAAAATGGGATCATTTGTAAAGTTGACCTTCATTTGTCACTAATTTGAGACAAACACATCGTTCTGAATTGTCAGGAGTCAGTGACTTTTTCAAGACCTCCTAAGCAGTGAAATTGAAGGAAGCTTGTATTTGTTGATAGTCTGTTGTGTCAGGCCCCCAGCTAGGCACTCTTCTTATTTAATTTTAAAAATCACCCTGAGAAGGAGGTGTTCTTAAACTTGTTTTGTAGGTAAGGAAACAGAGCCTCAGAGAAATTGCTGTGACTTGTCTGAGATAATTGTCAGCCATTGCTAGTGTCAAGCCCACATTATCCAACTCTAGTACCCAGGTTCTTTCTCTACCATTAAACCAGCCCCACCTTTAATGCTGGTGTCACATGATGTGTATGTACATACTTGGTGTCAAGGGTGATCGTCATTTCAGGGAAGGAGTAATATGTTGCACTGTAAAGTCAGTGTCTTTGCCAAGCCACTCTCTGGATCCAGGTTTCTGTGGCCACAGTTTATGTGAGCCATGCTTTCCTTAACCTATATTTTTCTCAGCATCTAATAGTTGTGGAGTCACATCGGAAAAGACAGCATATAGTGGTTAAGAGGTAGTACTACATAATAGAGCATGGGCTTTGAACTCAGAGTTGTGTTTGAATCTGGAATCTTCACCACTTAACTAACTTTGTGATGTCTAAGAGTCAGTGTCCGCATCTGTAAAAGGGGAGGTTCCTAAGTTTGTTGTAAGATTGGAGGATCAGATAACGTATAAAGCACCTGATTCCATGCCTGGCAGGTTTAGACCCTCAATAAATGGTAGGATTATGACTATTCCCTGACCTTTCAGTTGAGAGGAGAGAGTCCTGTCCTTGTTTTTCTGCTTTACAGTTTTCTTTTTTGAGAATTTGTGGTGGGTCCCTGACCCTCGGGGCTCTTGTTTCTACAGTTCAGAATAGTATTTTTGAAGAATGCATGGAAACTAATCTTTCTCCTGAGTCTTTGCCAATTCGTATTTTAATTGGGGGCTTTATAAGGTTAAAAATTCTGTAGAAGAACCTTTGTTCCAGCGTTTGTTGGTGATTTTGAAATCAAAAAGGGAGTGACCTTGTAGAGTTTCAATTTTTCTGAAAGTATATATACTTGTACAGCTGCAGGCTTTTAAAAATTGTGCTCTGTAATTTTTCCAATTAGTGTTAAGGTCACAAAAATTCAATTCTGAAATGGTACAAGCATTTTCTTTCCCCCTTTTTATCAGATACGATTCATTAGTTCAGTCCCAAGCCAGAGAGCTCTCCCTTCAACGACAGCAGATTAAAGACAGCCATGACATCTGTGTCATTTATCGTCAACATATGAACACCATGATGAAGGCGTTCGAGGAGTTGCTGCAGGCTAGCGATGTTGACTGCTATTTGGCTGAGGGTTTCCAGGAGCAGCTGAATCAGTGTGCTGAACTGCTGGAGAAATTGGAAAAGTTGTTTCTCAATGGTAAGTGGGACAAGGTGCTGCGAGTTGTAAGTCATATCAGTAACTGATCTAGGACTACCTGGTGGGATAGAGGAGGAACTGACTCCTTGGTCTGCTTACCTTCCTGTCCTCTCCCTGAGGTGATGGCAGAACCATGCCGGCTGCTTCTTCCTTCCAGTGACCAGTTTCATGTGGTTTGTAGTCTGCACTATTGTAAACTAAGGTTTCAGTTTAGATGACTCAGGGACTCAGAACCACATGGTTGCTGGCGCTTCAGACTTTTCAATAGAAGATGGAAATCTGATTTTTTGTGAGAAAACTCACGAGTTTTAAATGTTGGCAATCAAGTTAAAACAAGAACAAACTTTTATTTGTTAAAAAAGTATAGGCAAGGGTCAGAGGTGGCCCGTGATCTCTACTCTAAGAGGAAGGATGAAAGAAAACATTTGCTGGATATGTGCCAGGCACTTTACTACATGTATTACAAATTAAAAAAAAAACAATTAGCAACTTTTTGAGACTACAACAAAGAACTCCCTGTACCCTTTACTCAGTTTTATCAGTTGTTAGCGTTTTGCAACATTTGCTTTATCATTATCTTTCTCTCTCACACACACACAAACACAACAATTATTATCTTTCTGAATCCTATGAGAGTAGGTTGATGATATCATGCCACTTACTCACTTAAATACTTCAGCATATAGTTCCTCAGAACAAGGACATTTTCTTACATAACCACAGTATAATGATCACAATCCGGAAATAGTATTATTTAATGTACTATTATCTGATACACAGTCTGTATTCAGATTTCACTGTTTCAGTAATGTCTTTTATGACAGTTTTATTTCCGATAGGATCCAGGATCTGGTCCCCACATTACATTTGGTTTGGTCCTTGGTCTCTAATCTGGAACAGCTCCTCACCCTGTCTTTGTGTTTCATGACATTGTCATATTTGGAGAGGTCAGGCCAGTCCCTGAATTGGGATTATATGTTTTTTCCTCATAATTAGATTCAGGTTATGTAGTTTTGGCAGGAATACTGCATGAAGTCATGCTGCATTCTCATTGTATCACGTTAATGAGGCACATGATATCAGTGTGTCCCATTTTTGGTGACAGTAACTTTGATCATTTGGTTAAGGTGATGTCTGTCAGGTTTCTCCACTGTAAACTACTCTATTTACTTCTGTAATGAATAAGTAATTAGTGGGGAATAGCTTTGCAGCTGTAAATATCCTGTTCCTCATACAACTCTTACCTGTTTTACTGTCTATTGATGATTGCTGCCTGAGTCAGTTGTTACTATGATGATGACAACATGGTGATTATTTTTCCAACACCATGATTCCGTCTTCATTTATTAGGTGGCATCTGCTTTAAGGACTAGCACTCCCTTTATTCTCTTCTATTTATGTATTTATTTTTTGTTTATTATCAGTATGGACTTAAAGATTCTTATTTTATTCAGTGGGCTATTATCCATTACTTTCATTCATATTGATCCTCAGGTTGTCCCGTATTTGGCAAGAGGCAGATCCTTTTGATGTGTCTCCATCTTTTTTTGAGTACTTCTTACTTTCTGGCATAAAAAGATGGTCCAGGCTTATCTTGTATTGCCCTTGTCCCAGTTCTGAATCAGCCATTTCTCCAAGTGGCCCTGTTTCCTTTTAGTGGGGAATGGTATTTAAAAACCAAGGTTTGGTGCTAGGTGTATTCATTGCTACTAGGGTGTCATTGTTTTTAGGCCTTTTAGCAGACTGAACTGGAATATACAGTAAAACCTGCAAAAACTGGAATCTGTGTAAGGCGGAAACCTGTCAGAGAAGGAAAACGCAAATATTTTCCACCAACAGAGAACCCCCTGTGAAAGACCCAGAAAAACAAGACAGTCCTGGTGAATTCTGGCTCTCACAGGTTACATATATATATATTTATATATATATTTATGTATGTATATTTATGTGTATAGATGTATATGTGTGTGTGTGTGTGTGTGTGTGTGTAACCTGTGGTCCAAGTCCAGTCCAAACCCACTGGATCCTTTCTTTTTCCTAAATTGTGGTAAATATCTGTATCTATGCACCTAATAAAACATTGGCAATTTCAACAGTTTTCCCCAGTACACATCAGTGGCACTAACTATGTTCAATATTTTGTACAACCATCACCACTATCCGTTTCCAAATTTTCCTATCACCACTGGGTTCTTTCTTCCCTTCCCCAGTCTGTATCTGTAGATTCCTTCTCCAACAGTGAGAACCCTGGCTCTAGCAACATGAGTGTATCCATTCATTTGCTTAACTCCATAATATGCATGAATAGTTCCAGAATTATTTCACCCATATACCACTGTGAAAAACAAGCCTGCCAGAAGAGTTCAAGATTTGTTTGTAGCTCTTTTCATTTTTAGGCTAAATGTATAGTCTGGTATTGAATTTAAAAGTTACTTGGTTGAGGTTTTTTTTTTCATAGTGGTATCATGTTGTTTGTTCGAAATATAACTATTTGTTTGTTTCTGTTTGTATTCAGTTTAGAGTTCTTCCCATCCTTATTGATTAATTTTTTGAACATGAAAAACATTAACATGGTTCCAAAGTCAAAACTTTTCTCCTTTTAAATAGCATCTATGAAGTTATTATTTCATCCCACTTCTTTATATCCATTATTACTGCTTTTTAGTCCCCTTTCTCTCTTAAATCCATTGGAATTGGGCTGTTAGTTATCCCAGCCACTCCACTGAAATGGCATTTTCCTGAGTCACTAATAACTTCTGCTTCGCTAAATCCAGTGATCAGTTTTCAGTCTTCGTCTTACTCAAACTCACAGTAGTATTTGATGTACTGGCTCCTCCCTCCTTGTGGAAATCTTTTCCTTTCTTGGCTTCCAGGATACCACTCAGCCTTCACTTCAGTTCTCCTCACACCCCCTGCTCCTTTGAAGTTCTACCTTCAAAAGATATTCCACATCTGATCAAATTCTTACCACATCATTGCGACCGCCTAGATTATTGCCAACGCCTCCTAACTGTCCTCCATGCTTTCACCCTTGTCCCACTGCAGTCCGTATTTACGCAGTAGTCAGAGTGATGTTTTAAAAATATAGGTCGGGTCATGTTCCTTCTCTATTCAAAAATAAAGGCCTTCCTTTTCACTCAGGGTAAAAGCCTAAGTCCATATAGTGGCCTGCAAAGCTGTCTACCTTCAGACCCCTGCCACTCCTCTAACCTTGTCTCCTACCCCTTCACCCATGTCCTCCCTGCTTCAGCTACAAATTGTGGTCTCTTGATCATACTCAGCATGATATTCAGGACATTTGCACTTTGTCTTCTCTCTGGTATATCCTGCATTCCTTCAGGTCTTCCCTTAAATGTCATCCTGTCAGTGAGCCTGTCTTTGACAACTGTGTAAAATAGCAAGCCACCCCTGCCCCTATCACTGGCATTCTCTTGTCCCCATACCCTGCTTTGTTTTTCTCTCTTCTGCTTTCACCATCTTGTATGTTACGTATTTACTTATTTTTTTTTTCTCCCTTCTCCCCTAGAAAATAAGCTCCATGAGGGTGTCTGTTGTGTTTCTTACTGTAGCCCTGAGACATACATGATTCCTGGTACGTCAGTGACACTCAGTACATATATTTTGAGAGAATGAATGAATGAATCTCAGTTTTACAGTTGCGATTGTGGCTCAGTGAGATTTGGAAACTCATCTGTGATCATATGTAGAGTGAGTGGTAGAGCTGGGATTTCAAAGCAGGTCTCTGGACAAAGTGTCTTTCCACTAGGTCTACATGAATTTCACTTGGTATCATATATGTTATTTGATTTAAACCTCACAGTGACCTTGGAAATGTGAGGTATTCCCCTTTAACAGATAACAAACTGAGGCACAGAAATATTACCTGACTTATCTAAATAAGTGGGCCTAGCAGTAAGAGTGCAATCACTGAAGTTGGGCTGCCTAGATTAAAGCTCTGGCTCCCCCACTTGAAGCTGTGCATCTTGGGAAACCAAACTCCTGGCCTCAGTTTCTTCATCTGTGAAATTAGCGTTCTAATACCTTGGCTCAGTGGTTGGTGCTTGGCTCTTACTGATTGCTCACTAGTATTTGTTCTTGTGGTGCGGTTGGGGCTTTAAAGTGAGGTTGGGGCTTTTATACCTACCAGTTTAATCTCAGAACAACTTGCTTTACAGATGAGGGAATTTAGCCTTAGCAAGGGAAAGTAAATTGCTCAGAGTCAGAACTGACTTGGCAGAACCAGGACTTGACCTCAGTTCTTCTGTCTCCAAACGTATAAAATAGATGATTCATGGGGGTCCACATATGTTCAATTAAATTCCAGGATAGAACGTGGGACAGTTAGGCCTTCTGGGCCCAGGCAATATTTTTCCCCCTGATTTTTTTGCCAAATGGCCTACTAGCTGAGGCTGTGAGTGTCATTTGTTCACTAGGATAGAAGCCCATTACAGACTGATTTTCCTTGTACTCCAGAACCTTTGGGGGCCAGAACATAGGATCACTTGACTTTTCCAAGCTTTATAAAAATCCGCTTTATTCTGGCTAAGTTTTTCCATATAAGTCAGTTTTCATTTTATTAGTGGTGAAATAACTCAGTCCTCAAGATAGAGCTGTATCTTCCAGGCCTGAGGTGTTGTCAGTCTGTCTCTTTTCTTCCTAGGAGTCCTCACCCTGGGTCCTAGGAAGTGGGAGGCTGAGAGAAAGTGCCTCTGGCACCCGCTGCCCTCACTCCCTCATCCAACCACCCGCCTTAATTTATTTTTTAGTTAACTTACCTTGACAAGCCCGAGGAAATCCTACTTCTTGTTTCCTGTGGATTCTGGTGTTAGAAGCGTTTCAGACTTAGACAACACAAACATAGAGGCTTATTTTCTTCTACAAAAGGTAGAAAAGTCCCAGGAACCTCAGTATAGCACTTTTTGTGAGCTTTATCGTAAAGTAGTTTTGTACTTAAGGCAGTGGTATAGCATGAGTTGTTAAAAAATTAAAGTCTTTTTTCA